CATTGCCATTTTAACCTCCGCATTTATGACCTGGTTAATGTTGTAAATGACCTGCAGACTACTGCAGGTGGCAGTTCTCACGAGGCTACTGACAGTTCAGTTTGGAGAGGCAGAGGAATTTTTTTTAAATGATATTAGAATACGGGAGATTTACGGGAAAATACTAATATGGGAGGACGGCGGGAAAGAGGGGTAAAATACGCTAGCTTCCCGGCCAAAACGGGGGACTTGACAGCTATGCGTTAAACCTTTATAAAGATTATAAACCTTTCTGGCTTTATAAAAGACTTCTCAGCTCTGGAGCTTGTAAACACAGGTGTTGGCTACACCTTGGTGAGCAAAGCATTCAGAAATTTCATATGGTTTGATTACTAAAGTGTCAGTACTTTGAAGTCTCACTCCCCCCTCCCCCCAGAGTCAGCGGCCTACACAATGAACACCTGTAATAGTTTACATACTGTCAATGTTCCGTCATTCTGCAATGTCATTGTTACTACCCCGCCCACACCCATCAGTTTGGAAAGTCAGTGTGAATTGTAAGAAAAGAAGAGACAGAAGCCTTTTTGCCGTTTATAAAACACACCATGGAGTAAATGTTCATTAATAAAAAGTGTGATCACATTACTGGAATAATACAAAACAATAAGTGAATAATAGAACGATCAATTATAAGTCCTGATCAGAATGCCAAACTTCAAAACAGTTTCTGTCTGGTTGAAGGCAGATGTCACAAGCTTTGCACTTCCAAGGGGTTTTGTATATATAATAATAATTCACAAAATATTACTCATATTTTACTGCTGAACTGGGGCACATTTCCCAAAATCTCCCGTCGGCAACTTGGGTAACTGGACCCGTTGTTGCATGGTTCCAAATATGCACGTTGCCAACACAAATAGCAACGATGATTTTGAGAAACGTGCCCCCGGCTGTTTCTGCACCGCAACTTTGCTCCTTCCATTTTTGAATGAAGAGTGAACACGCAAGGTCCATCATTTATGTCAATTATACAAGTATTTTTAATACGAAAGTTAATTTTATGTCAAATGTCTTATTACCAGCAAATCCAATCCATACTATTTTAAGCTATTGTACAAGTATTTTGAGAAACACAAGCTAAACAACCTGAAAACGATTGCTTTGTAGTCTCATACTTTCAGGAAAATCTCAAAGATAGTGAGATCCACTAAAAGAATAAGTGCCTGTTACCAACTGTTTGCATATATTTTCCTTCTTTTTAAAGTGTTTATAGTAGTGATCAAAATTAGATTTTGTAATTTACAAAGTTACAGCTAATCTGAATTTGCAGTTTTCCATGAATTGAATGGATGTATCTTTTCCCCACCACAAAATAAAAAGTTGAAGCTCGACATAAACAAGACGACATGGGAGTTTTCACGCATCTTTCTTGACCTAGTAACAACCGTGGGATTATCGGATCATTATTAGCGCTGCTTCATGACTCAGACACTTGAGTCAGGGACTTGTTTTTATTCCCCTTACAAAGCTCTAAAAATATATTTAGTTTCTACCGATATATCTGAAAAGTACACCGTTCAAGGTTTCTGGTGGTGCTTTTTACATTTCTATGACAAAAACTTGCCGAGAGTTTTTAAACGGTTAGGCGATATTTCCGTTTTATCCCGCAAGCAGCATCGCCAACTGCAGAGAGTTATCAAATGAGACACGGAGGAAATTCACCTCACTGACTGTTTGCCTGCTTGCTGAAGCCCCGGCGTAGTCATCCATCATAGGGGCCTCCAGACTCTGCAAGCATCACATCGGGCTCAGATTATGATTGGCCGGTACCACATTACATCACGGTGTGATGGTCATTTAACCGGAGACCCTCCGCAGCCCCAGGCAGTACCTTGCGAATGGGGCACAAGCACTTCCGGTGCCGGCACCGAATGGGTTTCCGAGAATCGGGGTTGAGAAACCCGTTCTTGCAGCTGGCACAGTTCCCACAATCCTCTGTGACCAGGCAAGCACGACACTGACCGCAGGGCAGCCACTGGGAGGGAGGAAACAGATGGTGGTATTGAAATGACTTCTCCTAAATACTGTGGGTCTGCGGTTCCGGGGCTGGTTCTGAGTGAACACCCGGCTGGCCTTAGCTTTGACAGCTTAGCAGACTGGGTGACAAGAAAAAGTAATGTCACCTTTAAGAGAGCAAAAAGATTTGCCGTTAATCACAGGCCGGCAGCCTCCCACTGCTGATCTTCAAGCAGAGCATGTGCATACACAGGGGGTGTGCTTACCTTCCTGAAGATGATGTTTCTACGCTCAACTGGCTTCTTCTCAGCTGGAAGGAGACACACACATACACAGTCCAACAAAACTAATCTAATTCATCAAACCAGATAATTAATTCAGCAGGACGGATTTGAAGACGGCTTTTTTGCACACATGTTCAGATTCATCAGTTTATCTTTACAACATGGTGTTTGATGTTAATGTCAGTTTTTAGTGAGACGCTGAAACGGCGAGTGTGACGGTCCGTGACGTACACCTGCACTTATGGCATGTCCCTGGCTGCAGTGGTGGCCCGTCCCCCCCTGTGAGCAGATCACCGCATCGGGAGCAGCTGCTAAAAGAGAGCAGATCACACCTAACCGTCATGCCGGATGCTCGCCAGCTGGGGGGCGGGGGGGGTGGGGGCAGCTACTCACCTAGCTGTGTTCCCAGGCACATCTGTGGATAGACAGAGCTCCACGGAGGACGACGGCGACCCGGAACTCAGCTCGCCATCTCCCTCAGGGGTGGAGGGTAGGCTTAGGGGGGCCAGTGAGGGATCGGGTTCCGACCAATTGATAGGGCAGACGCGGAAGCCAACGGGCAGCATGCCGGCAGGGCGGTGGGTGCGCGAGGCGACACCGCTCTCCTGCTGGGACCTGCTCAGCGGCAGGGGAGACCTAGGGGCAGCTCTCTGGAGGGCAAGGGTCGCCTCGGGGGTGTAGGAATGGTCCTGACGGCCCCCCCGCTCAGGGGAGACGCTGCGCTCGGAAGAATTACCACCACCAGTCGACGGAGATCGGTCCTTTTTCGGACGCTGCAGGAGAAAGTCAAAGAACAACTAAGGAGTTTGTGTCATGCAAGCATGCCGTGGGTGACCAGCTCCTCAAATGAAACCACTCGCACGCAGCATACAGATGGAACCGCACTGATCACATCAAGTTAATCTGAGACACATAAAGTGCAACAGGATCCCCCTCCCCCCCCCCACAACAGAAACGACCACGGCATGCAATTCAGCACCACACCACAGAGGTACATCGACAAACGGCCCTCTACTCGGTGGTCCTCACCCCCCGTTTCTTGACACACTTTGCCACCCTGTCCACGAACAGCCCCGATTTGAAGTCAAAGGACGACAGGTCCATGGTCCCGGCCAGGTGTCGGATCATCTCGATCTTGCTGCGCAGGCGGTCGCCGCTGGGGCTGTAGATGTCAGACACGAGGGGTGACAATGAGGCAAAAACAGCCCCCACAGGCATTAATATTTAACTTAATTTATCTGACGCTTTAATCACAAAGCAACTGAGGGTAGAGGGATAAGAACATAAGAACATAAGAAATTTACAAACAAGAGGAGGCCATTCGGCCCATCAAGCTCGTTTGGGGAGAACTTAGCTAATAGCTCAGAGTTGTTAAAATCTTATCTAGCTCTGATTTAAAGGAACCCA